CAAAGGAGAGACTTCTGAGGCTCTGGGCCGGTCAGCCAATGGAGAGCCCAGCCAAGGGAGAGACTTCTAGCACGCTTCTGGTCCACTGATGCTTCCTCTCTCGTTCTTCCTCTCACAGGATGTATGCACTCCGCCATCACTACTTCGGCATAATTCCCCCCAAACGCTTACGGGTATAGAAACATGGCAGGGGTTAATCAGAATGGGTGGCACCAGCGCTCACGGACACAGACGCCACTGCAGGGGGTCCCTGTGCTGCCCAGTGCCCACGCTGCCAGCTGCCGTCCGCTCTGACTGAGCTTTTCATGGAGGAGCCTTGACTGACCCATTATTTAAGCCATACGCTTAGCCAATTTGCCTTAGCTGAGAAATAAACTGCCCGTAATAGGGAACAAGATATCTGCCATTTTAAATGGGTTGCTTCTTAAAACTCAGTTATCTGTGTTATAATTTAAGTAATGACTGGTTTGCTAAATAATTAACCCCACATTAATATGCGTCAGTAAAAGGCATATGTCCCATTTATTGTATCACAGAGAAAGGGGGGGAAAAAAACCAACAAATGAATATTAGACTTAGTATAAATCAATGCGGGTATAGTTTGTTCAGTTTGAGAGGAATGAAACGAATGTAAGTTCCCAGACAGATCTATTCAGCAAGCAGCTCAGTCTAGGCTAATTAACGAAGAGCCCTCATCTGAACAAAAGCAAATGTACAATGCGGGCTGCTCTGATTTGTTAATTTGGGTTCTGGTCTGAAGAAGATGAAGCAAGTTATGGTGATGGTGATAATGATGATGGTGATATTGATGATTATGCTGGGGAAGTCTGCACCTCCCACAATGTAATGTATAACGCAATCGAGCTCTAGACAATTCTACACAATTATCAAACACACACGACATGCGTAGGAGCTGGAGACCGGCTGTCACAGGTACTCACCTCTTCTTCTCGGCCTCAAACCTGACCAGCTGTCTGCGAAGACCCCCGTTCTTAAAGCCCAGGGAGTGTGCAGCTGGGGCGCCCACCGTGATGATGTCATACGCCGTCTCTATGGCGACAGGAAGCAGGGCGCCGTTATATCAGCCAGCCGATAGGCCAGCTCTGGGCAACCCTGATCGCCGAATGCCGGTGTTATGATCCTGTAAACTGGTCTCAAGCGAGTCGATGCACAAGTCTTTACGGATCGTTTCCGATGTGTGGTGATGGCAGATTCGTCAATTTTAGAAAAGTGAAATAGAATTGTAAATATTCGGAATTGTCCAGGCACGTACTTCAGGTTACGTAAAATATATACTTCAAGAGCAATCTTTTTTAATAAGGGATTCAATTTTATATTCATTGGCTGCTGCATCACCTTTACAACTGCATGCATGTTTGTCATATTTTACAAACGTGTTGGACAAGTCCTTTTCTTAATTAGCTCTATCTTTTATTTATTAGGCTCTAAACTTGACGAATCTGCATCCGTCCCCTGCTAAAATAAGTGAATGCACGCCGTGTGAACACGCTTCATACTGCTTAACAGGATCACCACTCATGCCAAAACACCAGTATCCAGCAGGTCTTCTATCCTATCTGATGAATTACTATCTGCTGAGATCAGGTGAGGTTCACCAGGTAGGATGGAAAACCTGGATACCAGCAATCCAGGATCAGGGTTGCCCTCCTCCGGTCACCTCCTCCGTGACAGACGCTCTGCTACATTCTAAAGTTTCTCCTCCAGTGTTCAGACATCAGCAGCCCCAGAAGGACCATCTGCCTGCTTTCAAACAGCATAGGTCCTGCTAGCTCTTCCTAGATCAGTGGTATCCCTTAGAACAGTGTTTCTCAAACCAGACAGTTCGCAATTTTTCTCTTTCCCAATTCCCTGGGATTTGGGAGGGAGCAAAAACGTGGACCGTCCAGGGATCCCCGAGGACTAGTTTGAGAAACACTGCCTTAGAAATCAGAGCTCTGCTCAAGATAAATTAATGCCATTAATACAATTTCTACACAAAGAACACAGGAACAGCATCCAAGCCTGCTTCTTGGATGCATTTCACACCCCCAGTGAGCCATTTTTGCATATTTAATTGAAACAACAATAACCTGTTTAAGTCAATATCAGCTTCAAGATTAACGAGCAAAAGTGATCTTTAAATATTGATAAAGGATCCCTGGAGACGGCGTGAGCTCACAGTCATTTTAAAGACAAGCACTGCAGCTGCCATCATGCTCAGTTCTGAACAGGCTTTCATCGATTTCTCCATCAGGCAGAGAACCCACAGACTCCACTCCCCATCGCTGGAGGCCCGGTGCAGCCCCACGTGGGGCCGCTACCACGGCAACCCTCTCCCAGACCTTAGCGACTCCGTTCGCTATTATCGTTCATTAATGATTTCCAATTCCCTTCGTCCCCTCGGCGCCGAACATTGAAGTCTTTCACTGGTTTTGCCACGGTGGTATGACAAAGGCAAGCGGAAGATAAACTCCTGTCACTGACAGTGAAATTGCGGTTCGCTCGCTTTGTTCCCCTTCGTCAACGTTTACCTCGCGAGCGTTCAGAGCCTTTCTCCGTGAGAAGAAAGCCAACCGCCAGAGCTCAGACGATATACACAAGCCATATTTAACTAATCCCCAGGCCATCGTGAAAGGAGATTAAACATTTGGTGCATTATGCTACCGTGAACAGGTAATGGTGTGATCTTAACATTGGTTTACTCTGCCCCAGCAGCGCATCAAGTGTCTCACATGACTGGCATTCAGACTGACAAGCTAATATGCCCCTGTCATTGGAAAAGCATGATGGGAAATAGAAGGAGACCGGCCTATCAGGATGCACACGGGTCTGCATACAGTACATTTCCTCCCCCTTCACGTTACATCCATTAGTAACACTCAATTCCTGCATCCCATCGCATTTAGCAAGTGCATCCAAGTCTGGATGGACTCCTCTACTTCAGTCCCTCAGACAATCCTTGGTCACACAACAAATAATTTACCATGATGTCATTCAATCATCCAGCTCATTCTTGCTGATGTGCATCCATTAGGTTTCCACTGAGGAGAATTCTCTGTAGCGGATGTGTAAACAAAACTGATGATGTGGCAGTTTCTGATGTTCAAACGACAGCTGCTGATTCACAAACAGGTCATCTAATATCACTGAATTGACTGCCACTCCCATACAGAGATCCCTTCTTCATCTTTAATAACTGCTCTGTAAGTGACAGCACAAAGCCACTCGAGTCACCTGTCAGAAAATTAAGGGAGACTGACTATTCCATTATAGCATGCACCACATGAATATACTGTATGGAAACTGCCCCCCATGACCCATGGAAGGGTCAAACATGAACAGAAACGTAACCAGAGCAGTGTTTGCACCATGAAGTGTGAGGCAGACAGTTACTGTAGGTAAAATACGGAATACGAGAGTCAGCCTCTGTTTTCTGAATCAGGGCTCTGATTACTCAACTACTTTTCCCTTGAGTGCTGAAGGCTGCTAGGGTATTTATATACCAACAGATCTTTGTTTATAGGGAGTATGTGTACTGACAGAGCAGACGCAGCTGTGTGTTTATATGGAGCATGTGTACTGACAGAGCAGACGCAGCTGTGTGTTTATAGGGAGCATGTGTACCGACAGAGCAGATGCGGCTGTGTGTTTATAGGGAGCATGTGTACCGACAGAGCAGACGCGGCTGTGTGTTTATAGGGAGCATGTGAACAGACAGAGCAGACGCAGCTGTGTGTTTATAGGGAGTATGTGCATTGCCAGAGCAGATGCAGCTGTGTGTTTATAGGGAGCATGTGTACCGACAGAGCAGATGCAGCTGTGTGTTTATAGGGAGCATGTGTACTACCAGAGCAGACGCAGCTGTGTGTTTATAGGCAGTATGTGTACTGACAGAGCAGATGCACCTGTTTGTTTATAGAAGTATGTGTACTGACAGAGCAGACGCAGCTGTGTGTTTATAGGGATTATGTGTACTGACAGAGCAGATGCACCTGTTTGTTTATAGGGATTATGTGTACTGACAGAGCAGATGCACCTGTTTGTTTATAGAAGTATGTGTATTGACAGAGTATACGCACCTGTTTGTTTTGGGCTGGTGACCTGCATCCTCTGCGTGTGCAGGTTTATGGGGATGAAGTCCAGGTATTTCTCAGCCTTACAGCAGCTTGGCTTGAAAAAAGTTCCTGAGGGAACACGAACGCCAGGGTGAAATGAAACACAGCACATATTTAGCTTCAGTGGGTGAGCTCTATACGGGTCTCAAGGTAGGCAAACTCTATATGGGAATGAAAGCGGGCGAACTCTATACAGGATTCAAGGCAGGAGAGCTCTATAAGAGAATCAAAGTGGGCGAGCTCTATACGGGAATCAAGGTGGGCGAACTCTATATGGGAATGAAAGCAGGTGAACTCTATACGGGATTCAACATGGGCGAGCTCTATAAGCAAATACAGGTGGCCGGGCTCTATAAGGGAAGATCTACAGGTATATGAAAATCATGTCGGGCGAGCCCTACACAGGATTCAAGGTGGGCAAGCTCTATACGGGATTCAAGCTGGGCAAGCTCTATTCAGGACTCAAGGCGGGCAACCTCTATACGGGTCTCAGGGGTGGGCGAGCACTATATGGTTTTCAAGGTGGGCAAACTCTATACGGCAATCAAGGCAGACGAGCTCTATATGGGATTCAACGCGGGCGAGCTGTATACGGGAATAAAGGCGGGTGAGCTCTGTATGGCAATCAAGGCGGGCGAGCTCTATATGGGACTCAAGGCGGGCGAGCTCTATATGGGACTCAAGGCGGGTTAACTATATACGGGATTCAAGGTCGTCGGGCTCTATAATAGATTAAAGGTGGGCGAGCTCTATATGGGATTCTACGTGTTGTTGCATGCTTTGGAATTTTTTCTTAGGTAAACATCACCAAATAACATGACGGTCCAAGCTAAAATCAGAAGCAGAGAAAAGTCTTCACTATTAAATTATGCAGCATGAACAGCCGGTCCATCACAGGGCATGCGGCTGGGGTACGCCCTAGATGGGATGCCAGTCCATCACAGGGCACGGGGCTGAGGTACTCAGTGGACGGGACCCCAGCCCATCACAGGGCACGGGGCTGGGGTACGCCCTAGATGGGATGCCAGTCCATCACAGGGCACGGGGCTGAGGTACTCAGTGGACGGGACCACAGCCCATCACAGGGCACATACACAGTCACACATGAGGGCCAATTTAGAAATTAGTTTTTGAAGTGTGAGAAGAATCTTGAAGAATACCTGGAGGAAACCCACAGTGACGTGGTAGGAGCACACCAACAGCACAGAGGCGGGATCCAGAGCCGTAGCCCTGCAGGTATGAGGTCACCATGCTGCCTAAGCTTCACACATTCCAGTTACACTTACAGGAGGCACTTTGCCCACTGTGGCTGTTTCCACACAGAGGAGAGGAACGTATGGGCCGGAAATGTGAAAGAGTGACTGGGTAATCAGAAGGAACAGGGAGAAGAATCTGAGAATCTCAGGCTCTTCCCGAAGGAAGTGTGGGCAGACGCAAACGCAGAGAGCCCCGCTTTGAGCTAAGGCACTCATCACTCCATGCACAGCTGGGATGCAGAATAATCACCACGGCAACAGAGGCCAGAAAGGTGGATCAGTTAGATCAGGGTCCCATCTGCCTGCACAGGTGGTTATGGGTCATGGGGAGTGGGGGGCAGTGATCTGCATCCACACACACACACACACACACACACACATACACACACACACAAATACTCCTGCCACGTACCACATGCTGCACAAACAGCAAGCCCAGACAAACATGGTACTGGCTAAATCAGGATGGCCAATGGAGGAGGCTCTGTATGTAGAGAACTTGTACAGAATGACCAATTAAACTTTGTTCAAAATCATTTATTATTTAGAGTCCCTGTCACTCAGAGGCCCTTGGAATCACACTAACTTCTCACTCTTTATAGCTCCCTGGTCATGTTTTTTTAAAAACGTGGTCTGATTTGGGCGGGAAGGAATCAGTGGTGATCTTAACTCTGGGACTGACCAGTCCGTGGTCTGAAGCTCACACGGACTGTAATTCCATTAAGAACATGGGAGATGAGCTCTGGCACCTTCTGATACCACAAAAGACGCGGTAATGTAATCGCCCATTCTATGCTGGCGAGCTTCCTGAGAGAGAATACCCTGAGGGTGCCACACACCTTGGAGGTCAATTGCTTCATTAGCCTGTCATTAATTTCCCAAATTGTCCGAGGAGCTCCCCCTGCTGGACCTGGCGGGGTACTGCAAGTGGGCGAAACCCAGTCACAGGCCGATAACTCTGATGGATGGAGAATCGCACGCGGTCAGCAGGACGGTGTGATGTCATCCACATGGCTTTCAGCTGAAACGTCGGCCATCACTAAGGTGGCTAAGGTGCCAGGGGGGTGTCCAACATGTCCAGGCTGTAATACCCCGTCTAATATGGGGTCAGACGGTCCCTGGAGCAACTGCGGCTCAAGCGCCCAGTGGTGACATCACTCAGCCAAGCCTGGGATTTGGACTGGAGACTTTCTATCAAAGGCCTGTCATTTTAACCCACTGAGCCTGCAGAATCTGATTTAGTCAAAGCAAAGCTCGAACCAGGGCCCACTGGCCCCACAACGTAATCACCAACCAAGTGAGTGATTCCGCTAAGCATGTGGAAGTGTTCAGGCTTTTTCAAAGAGCATTCATTCTTCATTTCAAACCAGAACCTGTTTTTGATGTACCGTATTTTGCGCACTATAACGCGCACTTAAAAGCCATCAATCTTCTCAAAAATCCACGGTGAGCCTTTAAATTCGGTGCGCCTTATGTGTGCACTGAGTTCCAAAATCTGTAAAAATGTTGTTGTGCATTTTAGTAAGCGCTCCGCTTGATTGACTGTCGGACCATTTCCTGCCGACATAGGGACGTAGTAATACGTACACTAAGTATGCTGGCAGCGATAAACCAATCGCAGAACATTACGTAAAGCCACGTACAGAGGTACGCTTACCTCCGCCACGCCTACGGCAGGTAGGTATATTGTACTACTGGTGCGCTGCGAAACAACATTTGTTTAGCTAAGGACCCTGAAAATGGCATCAGAGAAGAGACATGCTCACGATGCACAATTCAAACTACAGGCTATCAGTTACGCGGTTGTAAATGGGAATAGAGCAGCAGCGAGAGAATTCAAAATCAATGAATCTACAGTATGGTTCGGAAGTGGAGGAAGCAGGAGAATGACAACAGACTGATCAAAAAACAGTGTGAGTGTATTTTTAAATACGTAGTAGAATAAGGTTTAACTAAACTCAGTTTTGCTTTTGTTACCTTGTTTTTGCATGCGCCGAATAATACAGTGCGCCTTATGTATGGCTTAAGTACAGAAATAAGCCCCGCAATTGAGAGTGCGCCTTTCAATCCAGTGCGCCTTATGTATGGCTTAAGTACAGAAATAAGCCCCGCAATTGAGAGTGCGCCTTTCAATCCAGTGCGCCTTATGGTGCGCAAAATACGGTATTTTACGCCCACATTTCGTGATTTTAGTCCATGTTTTAGTCTATTGTAGCCTCTTCGGCTAGCTGGCAGAAGCCTAGAGCCTGCAGGTTTGGAGTCCAGTTCACCAGACAACCAGTGAATTAAAAACTAATTAAAAGCAAAAAAAACACAGCAACAAAAAGCCCACCTAACTTACACTAATCTTTTGTAGTTAATCAATAATAAAGGTAAAGCTATTCCCCCACAAATCCAGTGTACACGGCTAGAGCAGACACATACAGAAGGAAACAGAATCATTAAAACCTCTCTCTCCCGCTCTCTCTCTCTTTCACACACACACACACACACACACACACACACAGACACACCCATCACCAGCTTCCGCTGTACAGAGCTGCTCTGTCTCCAGGTCTGAGGGTTACTGCTGCACTTTATCACACTGCTTCACCAAGCAATGCGGACGTGCAGCAAAGCCCAGCTCCACTACGGGCCTCAAAGCTGCTCTTCCACACCGAACAGCACTGACCGTGAACATGCTACCAGCTGGCCAAGGGAAGCCTCCGAGGACTGACAGGGCCAAGGGCTAAGACAGTTCCAGGGAGACTCATATGAATGGGCTCCACGGCAAGATGAAGAGCAGATCCAGAGATACAAGATGGCCTCCCATCCAGCAGGGGGCGATGGACCAAAGAGGAGGCCCTGTGTACCATTCTGTGTACCGAGGAGCATAACACAAACATAGAAACACACTCAAGGATGCGCTCAAACAATCATTGTGATCCGGAAAATCATTTGGCTATAATTGCTTCATTCTTGGTTCCACTTAAAAAGGTGCTTTATTTCAAAGTTTTACTTCTCCTAACATTGTTCCTAATTAAAAAAGAAATGACACTGATTCACAATTATATCACGTTTCCCTGTATTTCAAGCTCGTCTCAATTTCAATTAAAGCCGCATCGCTATGGAAACCTTAACATGGCTAATTAAAATGAACAGAAAACTAATCTGTCACGCCGTCCTGGCCTCTCTGGTGGAGGGAGGTGTCCTAGTGGAATGAGCTACCTTTTAATCTTGAGGCTTCCCTAATAACTCACCAATCATAGCACAGTGGTGGAATGCTGTGTGCCATCTTCCACTTCTCTGTCCCCCTAGTGGTAATTTGTGAAACCACACCCAGAGGCACAGGCCAGCTGACCCTCTGCGTCTCACCATCCGAAAGGCACCTGCATGTCCAGTGAACAGAGCATGCACTGCCACCATGTGTTGGGAGGCCAGATTGCAGGACCTTCTGTAGCTCAGAACACAGTGACTGCAGTGTTTGTGCGTTGACACTCTACACATCAGATCCTTAAATTCCCCTTGGTTGCAGTACCAGTTTTTCATTCCAGGCTTGACCTGACACACGCAGTGGTGGATGTCTGTTTTCTGTTAAACGCAGTGACGTGGCTTCCGGCATTGTACATGGTTCTCCCTTTCGGAACGCTATCGCCTCCCTTTCCACACCATCAGCTGCTCACCTCCCATCTTGCTGAGCTCCGTCAGGACCTCCTGGTAGCTGCTGATGGCCTGGCCCAGGTGGATCACCACCTCCTTGCGCAGGTTGTCCCAGTGCGGGGAGAGGTCTCCCAAACCCTTTAGCTCCTGTATCCTGCGAACGCGGATAGGGGTGTGAGAATCGGGGGGGCATAAGGTAGCGGTGCAATAAGGATAAAGATGAGGTGTAATCCATGTGTTTACAGGACGTGTTACTGGTGACACGAAGCATAGACACACAAAAATCAATAAAAGGCAACACAAATTAACTCTCAGCCAGAATATTCGTTTAGCTACATTTTCAGAAACAACTGCATTTTTAATGCAGAAGCATTTTTATGCACAGTAAATGGCCTTAAAAAGTGGGATGAAAATCCTTTTGTATGGTTACATATTTGTATCTGTATGGTTACATATTTGTATTTGTATGGTTACATATTTAGCCCGACACTAATCTGATTCAATTAAGACCTTGATGGCGGCGCTGACTGAATGCGAGCAGTGGGCTGATATTCGAATGCATCTAGCCACCCAGAGCCAGCGGCACATCTGCTAACTCGAGCTTCCTCCCCTCCTGCTCGTCAATGTCACCCCCGATGGATCCGGCAGCGCGCACGTCGGTCCTGCCCGGATCCGGCACTGTCAGTCATCTGACTCTTCCACAGGGACACCACTCAGAACGCTGCCCCTGCTGTCAAGCTGAGGTTATTGCACTGCTTATTATTCAAAAAGTCATATGGCAAATTACAGTACTGTATATTTATATATTTCACCCTGTGACAACTAAGTAAAGAAATAAAAAATAATATTCAACACTCATTCATGATACCCAATAAAATGACACAGTTTTACTAATCGCTTCTCAGTTCAGGAGTAACTGCTTGTTAAATGTAGTTATTAATAAGATACTAAATGCTGCTAAGGGATATCTAGAAACCTTTTGACCAGGTAATTACACATAATTCATTCAGAGGGGCCAACCTTATTAGCCATTGATATGTTTTGAATAGGTGATTGACAGGACAGGGGGCGAATCAGCTTTTAGCTGATTTAGCTCCGCCCTGTACACGCCTTTGCCATTGATCCAGCATTAGTATGATTTCCCTGCTCCACATAAGCATTGTCTCTGCGTCGTGAGGGTCACGTTCATCCTGCATCCCCAGCTGACGCTAAAGGGAGGTAGAAACTCCACACGCCGCCGACGGCTCTGCTGCTCTCCTGCTCTAATATGGAAACACAATAAAACTTTCAACAGGGTTACAGAAACCCCTGGGAAATTTCAAGTGCTTTTTTCCCTCTCATTCAGCTACAAGGGCACCTCTCCTTGCAAAGTGTAGTCGCCGGCAACCTTGGGTCAGCTTGACAAATAATATCTTTTATAAATGGAAAAATGACTTGTTAAAATAATATTTATTCACTTCAATAAAAGCATGTGGCTTTTAGCATAAATTCTCATGTCCTTATATTTTTATGCAGGATACAAAAACTGATTAATTATAGCGTAGCCGCATTCCAGGTTTAGAGACTCAGAGAGTTTCTTCGGACCCCCACGCTCCGCAGACCGCCGTTCCCAAGCCGAGCTGGTGTTCCAGCAGCTACACTCGGACCAGCCGCATGCCCCCCACGCTCCGCAGACCGCCGTTCCCAAACTGAGCTGGCGTTCCAGCAGCCACACTGTTGACTCAGCTCTGCAAATGTTTTAATTCCTCTCTGTTGATTCCACTGTCTTGCTGGAAGGTCCATCTACAAACTGTAGCGTGTTAGGAGAGGGTGGATGGTGTTCAGTCAAAATGGCTTCATGTTCTGCAAAAAGTTCATGATTCCATCTCCCTTAACTAGGAGCTTGGGACCAAAGAAACACCCTGAAGCACAAACCACATTTTCCAAAACCGTCTCGGATGACTTTTGACTTAAACTATATCTTCCAGCCTCCAAAGTCAAACAAAACTCTGGTGGGCAAAAAAAGCTGCAATATCGAATCAGAAAATGGTCCTTCGTGGAGGTGATACTGGACCAAGGTTTCAGAATCTATGGGAGCAGCAGCTAACACTCAGTTCTAGATAATTCAAGTGCTGGCCTTGAATTTGCTTTTAATAGTCAAACCAAGTTGGCAAAGAACATTCTTACTGTAATTCTGTAATTTCAATGTTTTACATTTTAAGGTTCTGTCTATGTCAGCCAATGGCGTAACTTTGGCTGGAACACTGGGGGAGTTGAGGTCTCCACCCATTATGGAGAAACATGATTATTGGGGGGGTTGTATTAGCTGGTTTTGATTTATTGGCGGGCCTACAACTCCCTCACCCCCCCCATAATTTACGCCCATGATGTCAGCGCAGTAACATTATTACCTGAACATCTTTTTAACATAACTAATGTTGAAAAATATCGCTTTATAAGAAAACTATTTTATCAAAGTGCCAGAGGTATATTCTGCAAACACGACCGTCCACCCGTGAGCCCCTGACCTCAGAAGCGGAGAGCGGCAGCTCTACCCACTGCCCTGCCGTGCCGTTTGTCTGCCCTATCATTATTATTCTTAGTTGTAGCAGTAGTTGTAGTAGTGCGATAACGTTCTGGTAACATCAAGAAAACTGGACACTTTTAACATTTCCATATCATAATTGTAACATTCGGTAAACCATCCTAGAACAAAAACATTGTTAGCAGGGTACTTGCACTTGGGGATACAGTAACCTGCGCCCCGATCATGCAGGGTATCCTGTCAAGTACCTGACATGATCGTGGAATACCGTGATTTTACCTTTATATGGCTTTTTTCCCCACCAGTTTGTAATAAGCAAACTTTCACCGACTATCTTCAGATATTTCTTTGCCTTTCACCACATTGATGATTGACAACAGATTCTGTAGGTGTTTTATTGTCTTTTTAATTCAGCCCACACTGGCCTGATGGATAGCCCACTCTTGAATTAACGGGGTCACACTTCTCAAAGGTTATGGTCACATAAAACGAAGGCACCTCTGATCCCATTTACTTCATTAACAATAGCACCTCCTTTGTATTATAAACTGTGACAGGTGTGAGATTCGTATCTCTGTCATCTTGTGGGCAGGTTCCTGCCCCTAAAACCGCAGTGACCCACTGCTCAAAATCACCTGAACACTGAGGCCTGGTGTTCAGCTCTCCCTCTGGGCTCCTAACACACACGTCCACTAGCCAAAACCCAGGTTTGCTAAACGAACAGTTTCTTTTTCATTCAGCTACAAACAGGAGCTTGAATCTTCGCCTCGGGGATCAGTGACTTTATAACATACCATCAAAGCCCAATTATGCAACTCAGGCTGAACTGAATGGATGCTTTGTTCACTGACTACACATCGCTTTGGCACTTGCTTGCTGTTCGTGATAAAATCAAATATTTATGGGCGCGGCGAGAATTTGCAAGAAGCAAGGCTTTCTCTGATGAGACATTCTAAACTGCAAAGCTACCATACACCATATGTGTTTTTCTTTAAAAATCAACACGCGTTTAGCAAAATCCGACGCCAGCGTCTCACACGGGACAACTCCGTAGGAAACAGGAAATGGAAGCAAGGGGTGGGAAAGTCTTCAGCTTCTCGCTCATGGCTTGGTTTCCTGTGTCCTATCGCCACATGTTCCACTGACCTGAGAGTTAACTGGGCTGTCAGACAGACTCAAGCCAGCACTGTAAAATTCGTTTGATCCACTGAGAACTTTCACCAAATCTGTTCCTCCTACAAAATATGTTCCTTCTATTATCTCTTGTGCTTAGGAGTTTGAGGAGAACAAATTCCATAAGTTCTTGACAAAACCCTTCTGCTATGCAGAAGTGTGGTTCAGTGGGCTACTTCTGTGATCAGAAGGTCAGTGGTTCAAATCCCAGGTTTGCGAGACTGTTTTCACTGTTGGATCCCTGAGCGAGGCCCTTGACCCCTGACTGCTCCAGGGACTGGCTGACCCTGTGCTCTTAAAAGTGTCCGCTAATTACGTAAGATGTAAACGTTCAAAAGCAAGATCCTATTTCAGGAAGCTGGACCAACCACTACTGGACAAGGACTCTGGAGTTCGGTAATCCTGCTCAAGGTCACACTACGGACCCGTTGGGCACTGACTGAGGCAGAGCCTAATGTGTAAAACATGTGTTTTGCTCAAATATTTTTTTTTCCAGATATTGTCATGTCTCACTTGTGATTCCTAATTAACCGCACCATACACTATTTAACTTTGCAGATTTGCAGGCTTACAGAGAAGCTAAGCTGCTTTGCATAAAAGCACCTGTCAAGGAAATAAAGTCATCAAACCATTTTCATCCACAAGGCTTCACTGCTGTCACCGTGACAAACCCTTGAAGTAATGGCAGGGGGCGCTAGGCAGAATGTTAACTGAAAGCCTCAGAAATGACAACAGAAGTGCTTATAAACGTGTCGAGTGTTCCGACCTCAAAGAGAGGGGCAGCAGTTCACCAAGCGGTCCCCCAGTCTTCACCTCGTCAGAGCATGGGGGACGCTTATTCCAGAGGAGCCCAGAAAGAGCTTAATCTGCTGGCAGGATAATAGCACTATGTAAGAGATTATTCTATTGGAGACACAGTTTGGGTATAAAGAGGCCAGCCAATCAGATCCTTTCTTACAAACCAGCCAATGAGCATACTGCGTATGGCGATGCCAAGAACAGTAGCTGAATGGTGACTCGGTGACAGACCTACAGTGTCAAAATGTCACGCAGAAAAATCCTGCTGATCAATACCGCATGAAAATCTGCATACATGTCTGACGATAATCCTGCACCATGCATCTCCAGCCTTTTCCTTCTCCAGTAATACGGCACCATGTCACTAAACAGAAACCACAGGACAACAGATCAGTCCTGACGGATGCTGGCCTGCCTGAGGGAGAAGCCAGAAAAAATCAGGAGAAACACGCAGTGCCTCAGAAACAGCCCCTCTGCACAGACTAGCTAGCAAACTGGGACTCGCTAACAAACAGCCCCTCTACAGAGACTGACTAACAAACAGCCTGTCTGTATGGACTCGCTAACAAACAACCCTTCTACAGAGACTGACTAACAAACAGCCTGTCTGTATGGACTCACTAATAAAAAGCTTGTCTGTATAGACTCACTGTATAGACTCTGTATGGACTCGCTAACAAACAGCCCATCTGTATAGACTCACTAACAAACGGCCCCTCTACAGAGACTCGCTAACAAACAACCACTCTGTATGGACTCGCTAACAAACAGCCCGTCTGTATGGACTCACTAACAAACAGCTCCTCGGCACAGACTTGTGTTTGTTTTGTTTGACTTGCTAACAATCACGGACTCACTAAGTCAACAGTTAACCATCTGTGACGATCAGTTTCCACTTTCATCTCATAGAATTACCTGAAATCTGAAAGACACATGTACTCGATTGGAATTACTCAAAACCACTTCATTGGGCCTGACCCACAGGAAGGCCTGGTGTAATTTCACCTTATAGAACTGGTCCCAACACATTTAGCTGCAAGTCCTCTCACTTTAGAGGAAATACAGCAAAAATAACCAGACCTCCAGCAGACAGACTTTGGCAAAGTTAAACAGATGTGAATAATTTCTATTTCCCTAAATATAGCTCTCTCTCTCTCTCTCTCTCTCTCTCTCTCGCATTATTTTGGCTGGCGTGCGCCTCTGGGATGGGACCAGGCCATGGAGTCCATTACCTGGTCATGTCTTCCTGTATGTACAGCTTGAGGAGCTGTTTCGGGATGTGGAAGGACAGGGTACACTCCGCCATCTTCTCCCGCACCAGCATCCACTTGCTGTCCGTGGTCTGAAAGCTGTACACCTTACACACGGGGTTCCTGAATACTGCAAGGCAAAAACAATGCAGGAATGCAAAGTGTTATCTATGACATAATGTAATGCAGAGATACATTGCTGCGTAGATGACAAGTGATAGCTGACTGTGATCGGAAGGTTGCTGGTTCAATTCCCATCCGCAGCAGAACAGTCATGTGTCCATTAGGCCCTTAGCAAGGTCCTTAACCCCCCCCCCCGAAATGCTCCAGTGATGCCATACAAACAGCCGACCCTGAGCTCCGACCCTAAGCTTCACTCTTACCTCCGTGTGTGTGTGTGTGTGTGTGTGTGTGTGTACTCAACGCGAAGGAGAGCAAGATGGGATATGTGAAAACTAAAGAATGCCAATGTATCTGTGCATGTGCAAATAGTAAATAAAATATCATTTAACTTCACCATCATACTGTAAGGTTATAATTGCCATTAGTTTTACACCAAAGGTGTACAGTAACGTGATGTTACTTACTGCCACACCCCTGCGAAGGGGCAGTAAGTTAAAAGGTCACGCATTAACAGAATACTTTCAAGTTCTGCATACAGTCATTTAGAGAGAACCGGCACCCGAACAGGAGAACAGGAAGCAGCCGGAACCCGAGGTGGATATGAGGCCAACAAGCTTCAACCAATCAGTTGAGTACTGTGACTGTCACCCTTTACGCTCGGTTGGTTGGTTAAAGCAAAATCTTGGTTTGGATTTTAAATTTCTGGACCCGAACTATCCACCTTTGCCCGTTAGTCCCTTTCGAAGTGCATTTAGAATGCTAAGCTGTTAAGCTCCGAAACCCCCCCCCCCCCACTGGTACACACATGAGTGAGCATGTCAAATCATAGACCAAAGATCGATTCACAGCAGGAGCAAAGCCTAATAACTGGGATTACAATGGAAAGGCGATAGGAAGAAGTAGACCCCGGTACACAGCCAGTGTTACAGAAAGGCACCAATGTGATCCTGAAACTCAGCAGACTGTAACGCAGCATTATTTAAGGCTGAGGCGACAAGTGCGGCACATTAATCTACAGTCGTGCTTCCCAATCCACAGGCGGTCTGGCAGGGAGCTGGGAGGGAGCAAAAACACGGACCGTCTGTGGATCCCTGAGGACCGGGTGGGGAAACACTGATCAACAGCATCAGAAGATGTATGGATACAATTAGGATGCCAGTTATACATGTGGATACATTTCTGGTGCATAAACTTGCATTTTTACATGCTATTCTTGTGATGGATAATATTTGAAAATGCACTGATATACAATCACCCTCGTGCAGGGTCATTAGACGTCTCCCCTTATACCTTAAGAAATCTTTAAATTACCGCATGACTCAATTGCTAGCCGGATATCCAAACATCTCAGCTGAGTCAGTTAATCAACAGACACAATTATGTAATTCTCTTTAGCTTTTGCATTATTTATTCCTGCAAAGGCAAATTTAAGATAAATAATTGATGTGTACTTCACTGACATATGTTATATCTAGTTTTATATATATATATATAAATACTCATTGTAAATTGCAATACCCAATGCCCATCAGTCCTTCATGACTTTAATGTCAACATTTCAAAAGGAGTTAATAAAAAATTAAATGCATCAGACAGAAATGTGGCTTCAGACACAGACATGAGAGTTTCAGCATGACGCACGTCCTTCAAGGTTAAACAATGGCGGAGCCACATTTCACCAGACCTTCACTTTGAAATGAAGCTACTGCCGTTTGTATTCATCCCGCTACAGCGTGTTTGTCTTCCCATCTTGTTCTCGTTTTTAAGACACACACACTCAAATGAGAGCAAAGCTTGGGTTCGGAGCTCAGGGTCCCTGCAATATTTTGTGGGGCTAAGGGCCTCACTTAAGGCAGCTTCTCTGCCAAGCAGGGGGATTTAAACCAACAACCCTCTAATCCCAGACACAAACCCACTGAGCCGCACAGTTCAGTAGACCCAGCCGGAAATCTGCCCCCCTCCTTTTTACTGTGAGTGTCCGCAGTGCCCAGTGGCTCGACAGTATTAAAGAGTGGGACATTCATCAGCAGCTAAGGTGCGGGAATCCAGCAGCCCCAAACCCCCCCCCCCCCCACATAAACTGTGAAACATAAAATACAGTGAGTTTCAAACATCCAGTCCATGGCTCCGGGGGAAGAGGAGTCAGCCAAGGACCCCGACCCACCGGTGGCATAAAGAGTGGGACGACCTCGAACCTGCACACGCTATTAAGCTGGCGGCCAATCACCTCCCTCAATCTCTGCGGAGGCTGTCGAGCAGACGACCTCGAACATTCCTGCGGGCTGCGGGTCAGAGCACGGGCAGCACCATAGAGAGCGACGCGTGCACTCAAGTGAAGCATCAACACAATGTCACACAGAGGACAATACCACAGCCCACTCAGCGCGCGCCTGCATTTACAGTTATTTAGCAGGGATAACGTTCATCCAGAACGACACGCATTTTTGAGACAGCTGAGAATGAAAGGCTTTGCTCAAGGCTCCAATGGTGAAAATGCTCTGCCAACCCTGGGTTTTGAACAAACAACCTTCTAATTACAGGTAAAGCAGTAGAACCTGCACAACTACACCTGGGAAGAGCCCTAAGGAAACCGCAAGAGCACTCAGATCCGCAGACTGATCTGCGTTACTGGCCGCCATCAAGCTGTCCTCCGGAACCACACAAGCTGGGGGGGGGGGGGGAGGAGACCTCAGTGTGCAGATAAAGCGACAATCATGCCAGGAAGTTCTCATTCCTCTTTAGTTCAGCTGAGGAGGGGTAAAATAAATTATAAATAAATTACTTGTGAAAGAAATCAATCTGAGGCTGAGCTGTTTATAGGGGCTCTGCTTCCCTGCCTTACTGTGAATGAAGATCAAAAGTGTTTTTATAAAATCAATATTAAAAAATTATTTCCAGATTGAGGGATGTGTTTTATTAACTCTCCTTCTTTTTTACCAGCAATGAATCGTAGGTATGTAGCAGGAATGTCCACACTTCGGGTGACAGTCTCCCTGCAGAGCATCACGGTGACGTCCCCCTCACCTGCAGAGCATCACGGTGACGTCCCCCTCACCTGCAGAGCATTGCGGTGACGTCCCCTCAGCTGCATTCATCAGCGGGCCGCTGTCTTTGTCTCGCACGGACCCCTCTGGTGACTCGCAGACCACCGTGTGCTGAACACAGAAACAAAAGACACAGGGTGGGATTTTTCAACACTCTCCACTGAAGAAGAAGCAGCAAAGCTTTGTTTTCCATTAGTACAGGTACTGATGCTGTGGACTGTGTTCATTTCCACATAACCCATCCTGCTCTCCTTTTAACACACCTGGGGTGGGAACCGGCAGAGACCAATTCAGTATGTATCAGCAAAGACAAGGGCTGTAATTGTACACGTACTCATATGTGATTTGGTTACATCATTTGCAGTCCAGGACGTGCAGTGAAACGAATAAATACATAAAAAAATAAGTGACACCTATATAACAAGTAGATGCTGTACATGGAGAACATTATGCTAGTTGTGGCTTTGAGTTGGTTACAGCTTCACCGCCGGCGCAGAAGATGGTGCCCTAGGCCAGCTTCACCGCCGGCGCCCCCTGTCTGAGACAAAGTGAAATCGGCTGGCTAAGTCAGCGCCCCCTCAGAAGATGGTGCCCTAGGCCAGCTTCACCGTCGGCGCCCCCTGTCTGAGCCAAAGTGAAATAGGCTGGCTAAGTCAGCGCCCCCTCAGAAGATGGTGCCCTAGGTGGTCGCCTATGTTGCCTAATGGGTTGACCGGCACTGTCAGAAGCTATAAACTCTCCTTTATAATGTTTGTGACGGTCCCTGATCTACTCTGCATGTAATCCAGAGCAGGGAAGTCAAACACACACAGGCAGACGTGCAGCTTTTAATTAAGGCACCGGTGACGGAGCCTTTCATCCCTACAGGATCTCCGTCCGTCACATAGAGCCGCCTCGTTGCCAGTCTGCTCCGCGGAGCCATTAATCAGCGAAACCGACGCGCTAGACGGCTGACGTGAGTTATCGGTGTAATTACGGGCAAATCTCCCCCGACACGGCAGACTTCCCAGTGGCCGGCTGACGCGAGGCAGTGCTGCCCACTTCCTGTAGGGGGCGCGGGTGTTTCAGAGGGACCTGGGATGATACTGAGGTAATACTAGGTACCAGCAGGAAAGGCTAAAAATGGCTCAAAGGCCTTCAGATTCAACTTAGCATTTCACTGTCCAGAAATGTCACATTTAAACATTTTTTTCTATGAAAATAAAGGATATTTTCTACTCTTTTTGCAAATCTATGCCTTGCCATTATCTCTTTCAAAAACTGTGCTCAAGTCATCCATTCAAATGTACTGATCAAATGATCTTCGGCCAAAAAAATATTGGTCAGTTTCATCCTCGATTTTCCCATAGAAGCCAACAAAAACCCCACTAAACTGGGAACTAAATAAAGCTTAAAAAATGAAGATGTTTTTGGGAGATTCATAGTGGAAACCTACAATCGCTGACGGACACAGGAGCGAAGGTCCCCACTCTTCAGGTCCTGGGGAACCGCAGGAGGCATATTTCTAAAACCCTTAAACATAATCACTTTAAGTTCTTGGTGTCACATTCTGTCTTATTAAATCTAACACAGACAAATTTCCAGTTCGTTCCTGCTGGTTTAATGCTCAGCGGTATTTTAGGGTGCAGCGCCTTCTGAGCCTGAATGGGGCAGCCGGCTAGCAGGCTTACATAGAGAAGCAGGACAGCGCCTCCTGATGGCACGGGACGGATCCACAGGAGAAACCTCTCCAGGCCCCCCCCCATTCCACAATGGTAGCCATGTTCCAGCAGTATTGACCTTCCCCATCATTGGGGTGGTGACTGAACTCAGGGCACGCTGACTGGTTTCCGACCCCCCTAGGTATTAAATCGATATTTACAAAGGTGAGTGCATTAAGACGTTACAGAATGCTGATGCTGGAATGTAGCGGGTGGGTTAATGATGTGTGCATGCTGGTCCCAGCCCTGCCCACTCCTGTAAAACACCTGCCTTCCCGAGTGTGGGACCGTCCCAAGAAGAGGCCACATGGGGAGGGGGGCGAGGAGGGTATATATTCCTGGAGGTACCCCTGGAGAGTGAGGCCGGGAAGGTACACACACACACAAAAACACACATACTCATGAGCATAATTATATAAGGTCTTACATCGAGTCGTGTTTATGTCTGAGGTCCACAGTAAATAATATACTCTGATGGAGAGACGCCTGAAAGGGGCCTCAGCAGAACATCAGCGGACGTATCGCTTAGTGTAACTGGCCCTGAATGGGCTTTACAATGACCCCCTGCCCATATCTAACCTGCAGTACAGTACAGAGTAATGTATATATGACAGACAGCTAAAAAATCCAGTTATGCCCAAATGCGAAGGCTGTACACACATGTTCATGTACAGTGACTAACTCACTGCACTTAGAGTATTGTTTTGTACACACTGTTCTTATTCCTGCACTGACATGCGCTACTGCACTTTTTTCACATTCACCAAATGCATGTCGCATATGTCAGCCAGCCTGTATGTGAGCACTGTCTTGTGTGTGTATGTAAAGGAGACACTGTGTGATCACACTCGGGTAATAACCTGATTCTGATGTTCTATAAGTACGCACACACACGCCCTCACATGACCAATATTCCCACACAAATAAAAATAAGACCCAGAGCCCCCCAAAGCCCCCCAGAGCCTTACAGTTCCGGCCCCCAGTGACTCCAGCCCGGCTTCACTGGTTACCTTTTGTCCCGTGGTGTCTGTGGCGGCGACCTGCTCCGTCTCTCCATCCTGCGCCTCCCCCATCCTCAGGCGGCTCACAACCACTGCCCCCATAGCGCTGGTACCATCTGATGTCCTGGATGGGGGGGGGGGGGGGG